AGACCCAGCAGTGAACGAGAGGAGGCCACGTGTCATCATCACGTGACGGCGTCGTCGATTCTCTGGGGCGTGAGGATTGCAAGTCGCCAAAAGGTAAAAATTCAGGCACTCGTTTTCATTTAATACATTTTTATCATTCTAATAAATACTCCTGCATGCGTGTGTGTATATATTGTTTTTAAGTGAAAGCAATCGCACTTTTATAAAAACGAAATGGTTAAAAATGTTATTTTATTTGATAAATATGAATACTGGATTCCCACCACCATCCATCCCAGAAGAATTCCCTCATCAAGACTCTGCACCATACAGCCCAATGCATATCTGACCAGGAACACATAGCCAGTGAACTCAAGCAAGTATACCAAGCTCTTAAGGCTAATGGTTACTCCGACTACACAATCCGCAAAGCTATCACTCCAACCATGAAGAAGGACCCTCTTGAGGAGACTTTCAAAACCATCACTTTACCTTACATTGCGGGGATCACAAAAAAGATCTCCAAAATCTTGAATAAACACAAGATCCAGGTCCGATTCAACACATTACATAAAATCCGTGATCTGGTTCCGTCTGTAAAAGATGTGATTCCGGACATACAGTACCCTAGTGTCTACAAACTAAGTTGCCTCTGTGGTAGTAGTTACATTGGAGAAACCAAACGACATGTCTCAGACCGCATTCGTGAACACAAAGCAGACCTGAAACACGGTAGGACCAACACCTCGGCCGTGGCAGATCACTGTTAAAATTCAGTAGGCTCACATGACATTGACTTCTCCAAGACAGATGTTCTTTGCAAGCCATCTGGCTACCATGAGAGATTCGTTCATGAGGCTATCCACATATACAAGCACAGAGACAATTTCAACCAAGAAGATGGATTCTGGTTTAGCAATCATTGGAAGGATTTGATAAACCATTTCGTGACTTAATTGATTGATCACGCTTAAGGTGGCTTTCAGACCGCATCCATTTTTTTCGTCTCCCCCCTCCTCTTTTCTGAACATAGATGGACTGGTCCATCTAAACAAACTGTCAAATCGCTCTCCGTGGTGCTAACGTTAAAAATAACCGCCACTTTTTTCAAATTGTATTGCTGTGGTTTTCACACCTGATGATGATTGCTTGTGTTGCAGTCGAAACGTCGTGAGAATCTTATTGTTTCATATTTTTATTATTTTATTGTTTCCCTTCTACGTGACTTTACCGAAAGAACCAAGAATATAAATATGATTTAAAGCTTTCGTGACTGCAATGATTCATCTTCTTTGGTTCTTTCGGTAAAGTCACGTAGAATGAGAATAAAATAATAAATTGATAAAATAAAATAACACAATAATATTCTCACGACGTTTCGGCCACAACACAAGCGGCCTTCATCAGGTGAAGGGAGCGAGACTGTCTGGTAGGACAGCGCTGGAGTGAGAGAGCCACGTTCAGATCACGGCTTTTAAGCTGTGTGAGAGGAACAAAGAGCCTTGACGAAGGAATTAGCATAAAATTTAGCATTGAAATGGCTGAATGATTAGCTTGTGACTGGTCACAGAAATAGCTATGTTAAAAGTTAAAGCATACACATCCGCAGAGGCACCCATTGTTAAAAGGAATTAGCATAGAATTTAGCATTGAAATAGCTAAATTAAGGCATACACATCCGCAGAGGCACCCCTTGATAATGGGATTAGCATAGAATTTAGCATTGAAATGGCTGAGTGATTCGCTTGTAACTGCTACAGAAATAGTTACGTTGAAGTCAGAGCATACACATTCACCGAGGCACTTAGTACAAATCAAACAGGAGAATTTAGCATTGAAATAACTAGGCGAATTTAGCATTGAAATAACTGGGTGATTTGCTAGTGACTGGTCACAGAAATGACTACACATCTGAGCTATTCACAGTACTATATAGTGAACCAATAAAAACTAAAATATAAATTACCTTCATGTTATCAATAAACTCTATATTCTCCAATCAGCTAAGCTACCAACCATAAGTCGTTATATATCACAATGCTATATGGCGAAAAAATGGGTGGATTCTTACCCTCAAATTTCCGTACCACGGATAGCTACGGGCCCCGTTCAGACGGACGAGTTCGTCCATGGTCGGAACAGAGGAGGGGGAGAGAGACAGCTGCGAAGCCCTAGTATACTCCATGTTGTAAACCATACCATTAACCGTGGTGTGAGAGGTATTAAGAGGCAATGCTGGCGAAAGAGCTGCGGTCTGAAGGTCATCGTAAAATTACAATTAATTAAGAGGCCATTCACATATACAAGCACAGAGACAATTTCAACCGAGAAGATGGATTCAGGCTTAGTAACCACTGGAAAGATGTGTTAAATCATTTCTAGAGTTTATTGATAACATGAAGGTAATTTATATTTTAGTTTGTATTGGTTCACTATATAGTACTGTGAATAGCTCAGATGTGTAGTCATTTCTGTGACCAGTCACTAGCAAATCACCCAGTTATTTCAATGCTAAATTCGCCTAGTTATTTCAATGCTAAATTCTCCTGTTTGATTTGTACTAAGTGCCTCGGTGAATGTGTATGCTCTGACTTCAACGTAACTATTTCTGTAGCAGTTACAAGCGAATCACTCAGCCATTTCAATGCTAAATTCTATGCTAATCCCATTATCAAGGGGTGCCTCTGCGGATGTGTATGCCTTAATTTAGCTATTTCAATGCTAAATTCTATGCTAATTCCTTTTAACAATGGGTGCCTCTGCGGATGTGTATGCTTTAACTTTTAACATAGCTATTTCTGTGACCAGTCACAAGCTAATCATTCAGCCATTTCAATGCTAAATTTTATGCTAATTCCTTCGTCAAGGCTCTTTGTTCCTCTCACACAGCTTAAAAGCCGTGATCTGAACGTGGCTCTCTCACTCCAGCGCTGTCCTACCAGACAGTCTCGCTCCCTTCACCTGATGAAGGCCGCTTGTGTTGTGGCCGAAACGTCGTGAGAATATTATTGTGTTATTTTATTTTATCAATTTATTATTTTATTCTCATTCTACGTGACTTTACCGAAAGAACCAAAGAAAATATAAATATGAATACACTTTACACAGCAATGTGGCACGGGGAAAAAAATGTTCGAATGCCCCAGAGAGCAATTTTTGTTGAATCCCCCCGAGCCGTATAGTGTAGCGAGTAGTTTAGATGCGTGTCAAGCCACCCTCCTGCGTTCAAATCCCACGACATTAGAATTCGTGCAACAGTATTTTCAATTCGCATTCCAATAAAGTCCCCCCGGGCTTGCGGAAAACCCGACCTTTAGGGGCCGTCCATAAATGACGTCACGCGATTTTGGACGTTTTTTGACCCCCCCCCCCCCCCTCATCACACGGCGTCACAAAAAGTCAGACCCCCCAACCTCGGATATGCCGTCACAAAGCTCTGCCCCCCCCCCTCCCAAAAAATAAAACACGCTTCAAATCGCTTTAACCTATTGTCATTGTAGTGCGTATTTAATGTGGCGCTGCACTCTGATGTTGTAGGAGAAAACATTCATTAAAAAGTCTACTTAATTAAGTAGAACGTGTTGTCTACATTTATTGAAAGTTGCGCATTTTTACGTGACGTCACATTTCTCAAACCTCCCCCCCACCTTCGTCACACATCGTCACAAATGTCTGACCCCTGACGTCATTTATGGACGGCCCCTAAGGCTGCGGGGTGGATCTCGCGGATCCGCCGACTTACGCCTCGCTCCACCATGACGCTGCTTTTTCACTGAAGCCCGGGTTTCAGGTGGAATTGTTTCGTAGCGTTACGTAAATCTCAACCCTGTTGCAGCATTACCTAATTGCTTGTTTTCTATGCTTATAACTATCTTTTTCCCCCTCCCCCCCCCCCATGTTTCTATCATTAGTTTTTTTTCGATTTAAAGTATTGTGTAGCTTTGCTCCACGTACTGCCAGCAGAAAAGGGGAAATGCCCTATTATTATATTTTGGTACTGGCAAAGGAGGTCTAATGATGGAATTTTATCGTTGAAGTGAGGGGGGGTGGGGGGGGGGAAATTGTTCGGTTGTTTTCCGACGCGCGGCCAATTGGGGTTGCGGATCGCTCTCGGGAAAACTCAACACCCTTCCCCCTAACCCGGCGGGACTGCCCGTACTCCAAGTCGATAAATATAAATATACACGGTACCAGGTCTTTGCGAGAGCCAGGGCATCCGTTGGCACCGTGCGGAAGCGACGAACAAGGCGACCGATTTCATGGGAACCTTCTCCCGTTCCCGAGGCGTCTTGCAAGCTGCAGGGTGGGGGTCCCCGGAATCTCGTAATATTAAATCTGAATCTCGGAATATTAAACGAGGCACGTTGATGTCGTAGCCGTGAGGGGGGAAGGGGTGCATCCTGCACGTCCTGCAAGGCCTCGCCGAGGAGCGGGGGCCCCTCCGCTGCCTCCAGAGCAACGAACGTCGATCGCCTCGAATCTCGCCGCTCACTGCTCAGCTCAATCACCTTCGACCGGCGATGACGTTGCAGCGCAGCGCGATGACGTCACTACGCGACGTCCTGCCACCGCGTGATGACGTCACTACGCGACGCCACCACCGCGTGATGACGTCGTGCCACCGCGCGATGACGTCACTATGCGACGCCACCGCCGGGCGATGACGTGCCACCGTGCAATGACGTCACTACGCGACGACGCCGCCACGTGATGACGTCACGAGACGGGACGGCGCCGCCGCGCGACGACGTCGTCGCCCGTGGGGGAGGTTGCGCGGAGCGGCGAAGGGCGACGGCAAATAATCGGGTTTTTCCCCTTTTTTTCTGGCAACAAAACTGAAACCTTTTTACGAGGATCCATGTCTGCATTAACCACAATACCTGCAGTGAAAATGCAAACAAAAAACATACTATGATAATATATGATGCATTGTCCTTGAAACTGATTGGTCCACACCAAGGGACGACCCAATTGGTGCTCGACCAGATGACGCCAAAAGGCGTCACACAGCTCAAAGACAATGCACTATCAAAGTAATGAGGGCTCGGGGTGAGCATCTACATCATTAGACCTCCTTTCTATTATTACATTTTGGTACTGGCAAAGGAGGTCTAATGATGGCGACGGCAAAGTTGAGCGGGAGACAAACGGGGGGGGGGGGGGGGGGCAAGGCACGTAAACGCACGCAGGCGAGGGTACGGGGCCGGCCCCAACCCTCGCCCGCACGCTCAAGCGCTTTCCCGCATCTCCGAGGAAGTCGAGGTCGTTGCAGAGCCACGGAGCGGTGGGTGACTTTCCGAGGAATTCTAACTATTCTTCTCCTCCTCCTCCCCCTGTTCCTCTTCTTCTTGTTCTCCGTTCGACCCTCGTGGAAGCCGCGGTTGCGGAATGGGGAATTTCTCACGCAGGAATTCCCGGGAGCGGATGTCTGCCTGCGGGCGACAGGACGGGGGTTTAAAATATCAAGCGGGCGAGGGCTCCTGCACTGCTTTCGCGACGAGCGGCCGGATAGCGGGGGTCAAAAGGGAGAGATGGACCGATGCCGTACGCAGAGATACGGAGCCGATTCGACGCGCAAGATGAGTGGTCCATAAGAGGGTTTTTTTTTTGGGTTAGATCGAGTAAATATATAAATGTCGTGTCGTTTAAACCCGCCACTAGCCGACACAGCCAACGTAAGGGCTGTCACGTAAACAGAACGTGGCCAATTCGTCACTAGTACAGCACTAGTGTATAGTGTAGTGCATAGTAGTGTATAGTAGTGTATAGTGTAGTGTATAGTGTAGTGTATTGTGTAGTGTATAGTAGTGTAGTGTATAGTAGTGTAGTGTATAGTAGTGTAGTGTATAGTGTAGTGTATAGTAGTGTAGTGTATAGTAGTGTAGTGTATAGTGTAGTGTATAGTAGTGTAGTGTATAGTAGTGTATTGTATAGTGTAGTTTATAGTGTAGTGTATAGTAGTGTATAGTGTAGTGTATAGCGTAGTGTATAGTAGTGCATAGTGTAGTGTATAGTGAATTGTATAGTGTAGTGTGTATAGTGGAGTGCATAGTGTAGTGTATAGTAGTGTAGTGTGTATAGTGGAGCGTATAGTGTAGTGTATAGTTGTGTATAGTGTAGTGTATAGTGTAGTGTACAGTGTAGTGTATAGTGTAGTGTAGAGAGTAGTGTATAGTAGTGTAGTGTAGTGTATAGTAGTGTAGTGTATAGTGTAGTGTAGTAAACTAGTACAGCACACCGGTGTGTTGGAGAGCCAAGCCACAACAAGACGAGTGATATCGGCGGTGTCGAGATCGTCCGTGCGTAAACGTCGTCACCGGGGAGACACACGAATTGGTGCCGGCCACCCACCCCCTCGTGCGCCGCGTCAGCCTTAAAACGTGCCCACTAACGAGCGCTTGGAGCCGAGTGGACTTGCCGACGGCCGGTACCGGCGGTGTCGAGATCGGCCTATGCGGGAGAAGGCTCGTGAAAGACGCCGCTACCGGGCAGCCGGAGGCAGTCGCACCTCCAGCAACCGGCAAAGGGCAGAGGAGCGACGCTCGCAACGACGAGCGGAGCGCCGGGCGGATAAAACGCTCGGTGGCACGGTGGGGCGCGCAAGGCGGTGCATCCGGCGGCCGTCTCGGTCGGTCGGCCCACGGCACCCGGGTCTGTCCCCGCGTCCTCCTGCCAGCAAGCCTTCGACACTTCACGCGGCCTCAAGGTGCACCTAGCCCGGTACGAGCGCCGCGGTGACATTACCGCCGCCGAGTGGCGATTGGCGGTTGTTGATGCCTCGTGCGTCGTTGTGACCTGCGGTGTGGGACGGACGAGGCAGTAGGCACCCGCCAGCCCTCGACACGAGTTGGAGGAATCGGTGAGCGAAGTTCACGGGAACCGTGCTCCCGGAAGCAATGCTGATGGTGATGTCAGCAATGCTGGTGCGGATGATTGCGTGAGCGATGACGGCGGTGACGATGGCGGCGGCGGCGACGTTAGCGTTGTTAATGACCGTGACGACGGTGGCGGCGATGTTGTTCATCACCTGGCGGATTGGTTCCGGTACGCGGAATTTGGAGCAGGACAGTGTCAGCCTCACAGCCGTGTCCAGGGACACGCGGTGTCCCACCGACACGTAGACAGGGTTCGAGCAGAGAGACGAGGAACGCACAGCCTGGACACACAGCGGCACGCGGTGCCGCCACCGACACAGATCACAGATAAAGAGGGACGGACATTAACGCAGAGACACAACAACATCCGTTCAGCACCAGGTGACGATGACATCAACACGGCGCTTGTTTCAGGCTCGGTGCACTTTGAGGCCACGTGAAATGCACACGTAGACACACATTGTATACACACACACACACACAAGTGTCGACTCGGTGTTGCTGACAAAGCCATTTAACCCCCCCCACCCCCAATAGACAGAGACACCCAGACCCAGGGCTTGAACCCAGGTCTCAATGGAGCTGGCTCAGTGTCTCCGACATGGCCATAATGAACCCTTTGAGAGACAGAGACACCCAGACCCAGGCGTTGAACCCGGGCTCCGCACTTGGGGCGGGTTCAGCGTCCCACTCGAGGGAGTGAGGCGGTTGTTACCATTCCCAGAATCTTCCCAGAATTCCCGACGAGTGGGAATGTGTCTCCTTTTCCATTCAAAGCCTTGATCTGAAAAATAAAATAAAACACAGTGTTAGACACATTCACACGTTTGCCGTTTCACATTGCGTACCCTTCATGACAGCACTTGCACCAGTTTCAGTTTTCAGTTTATTTATTTTGGTAGAGCCCTGTGAGCCATTCGGCTCTTGAATCGGGTGCAACTACAACAAACAAAAAAAGACGAACAAGAAAAACATCTTAAAGTGACTATGTATGACTGTGCAAAACAGAAAATCCATGAAAAAAAACAGCTAAATATTCCTGAAAAAAACACCGTATACCAACTCTCCAACACGCAATCTGTGTGCGCTGTACTAGTATACTACACTATATACTACGTTATACACTACACTATACACTACACTATACACTACACACTACACTACACTATACACTACACTATACACTACACTATAATTGTAAATGTTGTAGTGGGTTTACTCTCCAACACACAACCGGTGTGTGCTGAACTAGTAAACTACACTATACACTACACTACTATACACTACACACTACACTACACTAAAAACTACACTATACACTACACTTTACACTACACTATATACACTACACTACACTTTACACTACACTATATACACTATACACTACACTACACACTGCACTACACACTATACATTACACTGCACACTATACACTACACTATACACTACACTACACACTACACTATACACTACTATACACTACACTACTATACACTACAGACGCCGGTTGGCCACCGCTGGTTTAGAGTATTTGGCTGCTGCTATAAATTCCCACGCGACGACGATGATGACGACAACGACGATGATGATGACAACAATGATGATGACGACGGCGACAATGACGACGACGACGATGACAATGACGACGACGACGATGATGACGATGATCACGACGACGATGATGACGACGATGATGATGATGATGATGACGACGATGATGACGATGATCACGACGACGACGACGACGATGACGACGATGATCACGACGACGACGACGATGACGACGATGACGGCGGTGGGGGTGGTAAGCCACTCCGCTGAGCAATCGCCTGTGAAGGCCAGGTGGTCGCTTCTACAAAACAAACGAGCCAAGGGAGGAGCTCGGTGGGCCCTGAGCTGGCAAGAAAACAAAACAAAAGCGAGTTGATGGCAGTGGTCACCACCTTGTGTCGGTGCGCGCCGTCCTTCTGCAGCCCGTCCACCTGCAGCAGGTCCTTGGCCACTCCGACACAGGGCAGGGCAGCCAGCACGCCCAGGTGGCACGCCAGGCCAAACCCTACCGCACCAGCATCATCGTCGTCATCATCGTCGTCATCATCGTCATCATCGTCGTCGTCATCTTCGTCGTCGTCATCGTCCTCGTCATCGTCGTCATCGTCATCATGGTCGTCATCGTCATCGTCGTCATCATCGTCATCATCGTTATCGTCGTCATCGTCGTCGTCGTCATCGACCTCGTCATCGTCCTCGTCATCGTCGTCCTCGTCATCATAGTCATCATCGTCGTCATGGTCATCATCGTCGTCATCTTCGCCGTCGGAGTCAGCCGCTCGACCTTCCACGAACCCATCCCAAATCCCGGAAAAACCAATCTGTGCTCAGCGCGAGACAATCGGGTGACTCTGGAAGGGGGCGATCAAGTGGAGACCGCTGGAGACCGCTGGAGACCGCTGGATACCGCTGGCGAACATCGCTAAAGGTCCGTGGAGGTTCCAAGTTAAAGCGTCACCGACGACCTCCACCATTTTGCTCCGCACGCCTTTTGGCCTGCCAAGAAAAACTTGGGGCGGCTCCATCAGCCGCTTGAGGAGAGCAGCTGGGGTCCCTGCTGGGCCCACTCCCCCCTCCACGAGCGCGGGAACTGAAGACAGCCCACGGCGTGACTGCGGCCACCCCGGACCAGACGATGATACCAACAGCGCCGCTCTCCGGCGGACCGAGCGGTACCAGCGGCGAAACTCCCAAAGCCGTCGCACGGCTCACAGGCTTAAAAAAGCTTCGACGCGTGATTCCCACGTGCTTGCCACAAGCCAGAGAGAGACAGACAGAGAGAGATGTTCGCCACCATCATCAACATCAACACCAACAGCCGCCATTTGCCACTAAGTGACGGTGACGTCACCACGCCGCCTGTGCCAGGCCAGGTGCGCGTTGAGGCCACGTGAAGTGTGGAAGGCTCGCTGCTGACAGGAGGTCACGGGACAGACCCAGCAGGTCCCATGGGGCGACTGACTGAGATGACTGGCAGATGCACCACCTGCACCACCTGCACCCACTACTGTGGCTACTCGCTGCATTTTAGCCGCCCGGCGCTCCGCTCGTTGTTGTGAGCGTCGCTCCTCAGCCCTCCGTTGTTGTCGGAGGGCGACTGCCTCCAACTGCCCAGCGGCAGCGTCCTTCACGAGCCCCCTCGAGCATCATCATCAATCAATCATCAATCAATCATCAATCAATCATCAATCATCAATCAATCATCAATCAATCATCGTCGCCACCATGAAGCGGTGATGTGGCCAACCCCAGCAATCCATGTTGCTGGGGCTGGCCCATGTTGGAGCAAGTGCTGTTAGCGAGCACCTATGAAGGCCGGAACGGCACACGAGGGGGTGGGTGGCCAGCACCACGCCCGGCCGCCTTTGTGTCCCCAGTGGCGATGTTAACTACACACCGCTACACCAGGTACCCATTTGAGGCCGAGTCGACATAGCGGGAGGCCCGGGACCGGTTCAGAGAATCGTCACCGGTGTTGGCCGTGAGCGCAGCGAGCTGACCGCTGCACCACCACTGTTTAAACAACACCAGGTGACACACACACACCAACACACCATTCTGTGTGGTGGACAGGGGTGGTAAGAGAGGAGGTAACTCACCCTTGTAATGTAAGATGCCATTACCATCAACCATCATCACCTGCAACACAGACACGCAAACAACAACAGCCGCCATTCGTCACTAAGTGGCGGTGATGTCACCACGGCGCTTGTGCCAGGCCATGTGCACCTTGAGGCCACATGAAGTGTCGAACGCCCGCTGGCAAGAGGTCAATGGGGCAGACCCAGGTGCCACGGGTCGACTGACTGAGATGACTGAGACGACTGGCTGATGAACCACCTGTGCCCCCTACTGTGCCAACTTGCTGTGCTTTAGCCGCCCGGCGCTCCGCTCGTTGTTGTGAGCGTCGCTCCTCCGCCCTCCGTTGTTGTTGGAGGGCGACTACCTCCAACTGCCCAGTAGCGTCGTTCACGAGCCTCCTCCACAGAGGCCAATCTTGACACCGCTGGTACCGGTCATCGGCAAGTCCACTCAGCTCCACGTCCTCCTGTACCACATCACTCCATCTCTTCTCTAGCCCGTGACGCGCCCGTTTAGCCCCCTCTATCCGGCCGAACAAAAGCTGTTTAGGCATGCGGTGACTGGGCATGCGGGCTACATGGCCCATCCAACACAGCCTTGCCTGCCGTAGGAGCTCAGACTGGATTTGTGATCTCCTCACACATTCCAGTCTGGTTAAACCCAGGATGGATTTCTCAGCATTTTGATTGGGAGATCATCTCTGCCCTGCGCTTTTCCTGGTCTCAGACTCTGGATCGCCTTCCGTACTTCCTCAAAAGATGGCACTTCAGCCAGCTACTCACAGTGGGTGACTACTTCCTCCAGTATCTGAGACACAAACACACACATTAAGACGTATATACACACACACACACAAAGATGCCCTCTATAGCCTTTAACAGGCTGTCGGGCAAAATGCTTATTGGCTAGCACAGCCATAATGAACTTGACAAGGTCATTGTGAATCCCACTGACAGAGACAGGGACCCAGGGCTTGAACCCTGAACCCAGGATCTCAGCGGCACTGTCTCTCCCGTGGCCATTGTGAACTCCCTGAGAGACAGAGACTCTGACACCCTGAACCCTAAACCCAGGATCTCAGCGGCACTGTCTCTCCCGTGGTCATTGTGAACTCCCTGAGAGACAGAGACACTGACACCCTGAACCTTAAACCCAGGATCTCAGCGGTACTGTCTCTTTCGTGACCATTGTGAACTCCCTGAGAGACAGAGACTCTGACACCCTGAACCCTGAACCCAGGATCTCAGCAGTGATGGCTTAGCATGCCCAACCCAGCCATCGCGAAGTCCCCCCCAGGGGCTGTGCGTGACCGCACCCCCCGCCACCCCCCGCCCCCCCCCGTGAGAGGCACCTGGGGCTCGAGCTCCGGACGCGTTTCTCGGAGACGGAGGACGGCGTCGAGGATGAAGCGAGACTCCCGTGCCGCGAGAAACCCCGGCACGTACGGAGCGGAGAGGTCGACCAGACGCGAGTCTTCGTACACCACCTGCACAGGGAGAGAAAGATAAAGATCCCCCCCCCCACCGGGTAGCCTGTGGCAGACTGTCGGGGCAAGTGCCGTTAGCGAGGAGCCACGCCTGGGAAGGTCGGCCCTGTGTAACACGAGGCGACGGGTGGCCGGCAGCACCACACCCGGCAGCCTTTGTCTCCCCGGTGGCGATGTTTACTACACACCGTGCTAGGTACTCATTTGAGGCTGAGTCGACCTAGGGGATGCCCTTGACCGGTTCAGATAATCGTCTTTGTTACTGTGTGTCACACAGTGACAGTGACACACAGTGACACACACAGTGACACAACAACAACCGCCATTCGCCACTAAGTGGCGGTGACGTCACCACGACGCTTGTGCCAGGCCATGTGCACCTTGATGCCACGTGAAGTATCGAACGCCCGCCGGCAGGAGGTCACGGGGCAGACCCAGGTGCCACGGGTCGACTGACTGAGATGACTGAGATGACTGGCTGATGCGCCACTTGTGCCCCCTACTGTGCCAACCTGCTGTGCTTTAGCCACCCGGCGCTCCGCTCGTTGCTGTGAGCGTCACTCCTCCGCCCTCCGTTGTTGTTGGGGGGTGACTGCCTCCAACTGCCCAGTAGCGTCCTTCACGAGCCTCCTCCACAGAGGCTGATCTTGACACCGCTGGTACCAGTCATCGGCAAGTCCACTCAGCTCCACGTCCTCCTGTACCACATCACTCCATCTCTTCTCTAGCCCGTGCCGCACCCGTTTAGCCCCCTCGATCCGGCCAAACAAAAGCTGTTTCGGCATGCGGTGGCTGGGCATGCGGGCTACATGACCCAGCCATCGCAGCCTTGCCCGCCGGAGGAGCTCACCGATGGGACCTTGCCCAGATCTTTCAAGGATTTGTGAGCTCCTCACGCAATCCAGTCTGGTTAAACCCAGGATGGATCATAGGCAGGCCAGCCTAAATGTTTCTAACCGGCGAAGATGTTCCATTAAGGGGTCCACGTTTCGCAAGCGTAGAGAAGGGAGGGAATGACCGTGGCTGAGAAGACCTGAAGCTTAGTGCGGAGTGACAGACCAGGTAGCTTCCACACAGCATTACGCAACCGATGAAAAGATATTGCCGCTCGAATGATTCGGAGTGAGACCTCTGCTGTTAAACTGGAGCCGGTCATAAGCACACTGCCCAGGTATGGGAAACTCTCCACTCTCTCCACAACTGCCCCATCACCGATTGGGAGTTGTGGGGGTGGTGTGTCCGATGGTACAAAATACCCAGGCAGGTGCTTAGTTTTGGTGGGGCTGCTGGTAAGGCCCCAACTCTTAGTGGCATGCTCCAGTCTCAGCAGCAGCGTCTCCAACTCCTCCTCTGAATGAGCAGCTATTACCAAATCATCAGCATACATAACGTGGTTGAGCAATAGGGAGCCATTCCTTGACCGCACCCAGGCATCGATCAGCCTCCCATTATATCTGTACCATATGGAGATTCCCCAGGTACAGCTATTGAAGGCTTCATGAACTACGTGGTCAAAATAGATGTTAAATAATGTGGGAGCCAGAGGACATCCCTGTCGCACCCCAAGGTGTACAGGGAATGGCTCGGACTCCTGGCCACGTAGTTTTACCTGGGCCCGCTCACCATCATGAAGGTCCTTAATGATCGTGAGCAGAGGGTCAGGTATGCCAAAAGCAACCCAGAGCCCAGGCCTACTGATGGTATCATAGGCCTTGACCAGGTCAATAAAGCAGAGATGTAGGTCTTGCTGGAATTCCCTACACCTCTGCTGTAGCAGTCGGACAGAAAATATGGCATCTGTGCAGGACCGCCATTTCCTGAAACTGCATTGGGGCTCCGCAAGCCTCTCCTCGGCGTGCCTGGCAAGGCGATGTTGAATAATCCTTGCCAGGACCTTTCCCGGCACACTGAGGAGTGAGATGCCCCTGTAGTTGTTACAGTCTGTGCGGTCCCCCTTCTTAAAGAGGGGGACCACCAGGGCATCCTCCCAATCCTGCGAAACCCGTCCAGTGGTCCAGACTGTTGTTATGATGTCATATAGGGCAGTCTGTGCACAAACGCCACCCTCCCTCAGCATTTTGCTTGGGAGATCATCTCTGCCCGCTGCCTTTCCTGGTCACAGACTCCAGATAACCTTCAGTACTTCCTCAACAGATGACAATTCAGCCAGCCACTCACAGGGGGTGACTTCTTCCAATATTTGAGGCACCGCAGCCTCAGCAGGGTCATCCTCACTTTGTGCCACGATGTTTTCCTGGTTGCGGGATTTTCCCTCCCCCAGAACCTCACAGAAATGCTCAGCAAATCTGCAAACCTGTTCCTGGGGGTCGGAGATTGGATCACCGTTTTTTTCCCTAATGATGGTAATAAGTGTGGCGCTGCAGGTTACTTTTTTTGATGAAGTTAAATAGAGATTTGTGATCGCGGGCCACTGAGGCAGACTCCATCTCCTCAGCAACCCGCAACCACCACCCATCCTTGCAGTGCCTCACGGCTCTCCCAACCTCCGAGCGAAGGCTGCGGTAAGCCTCCTCATTCTCTGACGTGGGATTCTGTAGCCGATGACAGTGGGCCTGTCGCTTTTTCTCAACCATCCTGAACACCTCCTCTGTCAGCCAGGGTCTCTGGGGAGGTCTGGACCGCGTACCCAAAGCAGCCATTGCAGCTGCATGAGTCACAGTCCTAAACCTCGCCCATTTACCCTCGACATCAGGAGGAGTGGGGGATGATGCCAACCCCAGCCGCAAGCGATGATAAAATTCTCGCTTGCAACTTTCATCAGATAACTGAGACCAGGCCACTTTTGGTTGGAATGTGGTCCTGGGTGTACACCCACCACCAGAGCGGAAGAATGGCAGGCGCATCTTACAGATGACAAGTCGATGGTCAGAGGGCAGATCAGCTCCACGGTAGGTCCTGGTGTCAAGGACATGGGCTCGCATCCGCTGGTCCGTCACTATGTAGTCCAGCAGATGTTCTTGCTTGGACCCGGCATGCATCCATGTTGTTGTGTGGATGCGCCGATGCCGGAACAGCATGTTGGTAATTACAAGCCCATGGGCTGCACAAAAATCTAGCAGCCTGCGACCGTTCTTATTGAGCTGATCCGGCCCATGCCCTCCAATCACTCCAGACCAGGTGCCAGCATCATGACCAACTCAGGCATTGAAGTCACCCAACAATCAGAATCAGAATCAGAAAGGGTTTTATTCGCCATGTAAGTTCACACCGACACGGAATTTACTTTGGCAGGATGGTGCATACATTCAACATATAGGAATCTAAAATCTTAAATAAGTTTTAAACAAGTCTTACTATAATAAGGGTTAAAAGTCTAACACCAAGGGGCTGAAGTATATAAAATTAAATAAATATCGAATATAAAATAGCTTTAAGATATAATTTAAAAATAAAAAATACAAATAGGGTAACATAGTTAATATCGGCAAGGTGTCGTTCTGTAGATCAAATGTTAAAAACAGTGTTAGCCCTTGGCCTTGTTTAACAGGCCAGCAGCAGATGGGAAGAAACTGTTTTTATGGCGTGATGTTTTGGTCCTGATGGACCGAAGCCTTCTGCCGGAGGGGAGTAGCTGAAACAGAGAGTGTCCAGGGTGGGAGAAATCGGCCATAATCTTCCTCGCTCGCCTCATGGACCTTGTCGTGTGCAGGTCCTTGAGGGTTGGTAGATTGCAGGCAATTACCTTCTCAGCAGTGTGGATGATACGCTGCAGTCTGCTCGTGTCCTTGGCAGTGGCAGCAGTGTACCAGACGGTTATGGAGGAGGTGAGGATGGATTCAATGATCGCTGTATAGAATTGCACCATCATTGTCTTTGGCAGGTTGAATTTCTTCAGCTGCCGTAGAAAGTACATCCTCTGTTGAGCTTTCTTGGTGAGGGAGCTGATGTTCAATTCCCACTTGAGGTCCCGGGAGAGAATAGTGCCCAGGAAGCGGAAGAACTCTACAATTTTGACTGGGGAGTCTAACAGGGTGATGGGGGTGAGTGGTGCTGTATTCTTCCTGAAGTCCACAACCATCTCAACTGTCTTTAGAGCATTTAGCTCTAAGTTGTTCTGGCGACACCAGGTCACCAGATTGTCAGCTTCCCACCTATAGTCAGACTCATCCCCACCAGAGATCAGCCCAATGAGGGTGGTGTCATCCGCAAACTTCAATAGTTTGACGGACAGATGATTGGAGGTGCAGCTGTTGGTATACAGGGAGAAGAGCAGAGGGGAAAGGACGCAGCCCTGAGGAGTTCCGGTGCTGATGGACCTGGAGTCAGAGACTTGTGTTCCCAGCTTAACGCACTGCTTCCTGTCAGACAGGAAGTCTGTGATCCATTTACAAGTGGTGTATGGCACGTTCAGCTGGAAGAGCTTGTCCTGAAGCAGGGCAGGGATGATGGTGTTGAAGGCAGAGCTGAAGTCCACAAACAGGATCCTGGCGTAGGATGCTGGGGCATCCAGATGCTGTAGGGTGAAGTGTAGGGCCATGTTAACTGCATCGTCCACAGACCTGTTGGCTCTGTAGGCAAACTGAAGGGGGTCCAGGAGAGGGTCTGTGATGGCTTTGAGGTGTGCCAGGACCAGGCGCTCAAAAGACTTCATTACCACAGATGTAAGGGCGACCGGTCTGTGATCATTTAGTCCTGTTGGCCTTAGCTTTTTGGGCACAGGGATGATGGTGGAGGACTTGAGACAGGCTGGCACATGGCATGTCTCCAGGGAGGTGTTAAAGATGTTGGTGAACACCGGAGACAGCTGGTCAGCGCAGTGCCTGAAGGTGGCTGGAGAGACAGAGTCTGGCCCGGCTGCTTTGCGTGGATTCTGCCTCTTGAAAAGTCTATTAACTTCTCCCTCCTGAAAGGAGATAGTCGTCTCTGTAGTATAGGTGGGGGATGGGGCCTCTTGGGTCGGAAGGGGTGGTTCAGGACAGTCCAATTGTCTTTCAAATCTACAGTAGAACTCGTTCAGGTCGTTGGCTAGGCGGGAGTCG